CATAGTTAACTTCAAAATCCATAAGTGGCTGTAAGGATCTCTGCATTCAGAAAGAGAAAACTACAAACATTGAGAAACTTTGTAGCTGCTGTTAAATCCAAGTCACCTTCAACTGCTTCAAGTCATCTTGTTTATATGTAGCATTTTCTAGCGAGTTCAAATTGGTGTGAAATCCAAAAGGGATAAATCTATCTAAAAGAGAACAAAGAGAGTTTAAGAGCAAAAGACACAAATAAAAGTCTAGAAACTTATGAATTATTTATTCCTTTTCCAGGTGTCATGCTCTTCATCTTATTATCATATAGAGAAAATCTGAGTGGCAATTTGGGAAACAGTAGAAAAAACATTAATGTGGAGCAAGATGATGGAAAACATTCAACTCTGAAGCCAAAAATGCATCAAATCAAGCAACAAAGAAAATAAGAATGTAAGAAGGCAAACCTGTATCTACAAAAATCTTCATATTCATTAAATCACGGACCCGTGAGTCGTGAAAAACAAGTATTCCCTCGAGGATGATTACATCTGATGCATTTACCTGGAACTCTGCACCATTAGTGACTTAGGGAAGTGACTTAACACAGCAACAACAAACAAAGTAAGATCCCACAGAAGTAGTCTAAGGAGGCTGCGTGTACGCAGACCTTGCCCCTACTTGATAGTAGAGAAGCTGTTTTCAATCAGCAATGACACAAAACAGGTGAAAGTGATAAAGAAAGGTACCTGACGGAAACTATCAGAGCATCTTTGGTGAGTCTTAAAGTCATATATGGGAACATGGACAGAATGTCCAGCTTTGAGCTTCCCTACACACTCTAAAAGCTGTTCGGTGTCAAAAGCATCTGAAAAAAAGACACAATCTCTGTGCCATAATCAATGATCCTATACCATATATGAAGACAAAGGAAAGTCATATTAATTTGACAGAATGCAACCATACCTAATTAAAAAATTTGAGTACCTGGATGGTCAAAGTTATACTCATGAACATGTTTTAACTCTTCAGGGGTTAACCCACGGTAGAAAGAATCCTAAGTATTACCAAAAGCATGACTTAGCAAATCAGCAGTCCCGATGTACGTATTTATTATGGTATAAAAACAGCATGCCATGCACCTCCAACAAACAAGACTTCGTTAGTAACCCAAAAACAGTATGTATACCACACCACTCATGCTAACTAAAGAGGATATTATGGTGATCATAGATGAAGATAACAGCTTCATAAATCTCGATTCACGAGTAAAAGCTACTGGTGTTAGGAGAAGTGATTAAACCATTACGGAGTATATTAAACTCCACGAAGTACAATTTACAAGCATACTGCAAGAAACTCAACAACTTGTACATAAATCAACTGGAAACATTGAAAAGAAGATGATGAAATTGAAAAGAAACCTGGTTGACAAGTACAACACGATGATCATGCAATTGTTGAATAATCATGTCACAAACGGTGGTCTTCCCAGAAGCAGTACCTCCGGAAACCCCTGCGGAACAATCAAAGTAAAATCGAATGTTAATCGCATAATCCACAGCAGGATTTCCTTGCACACATCATCCAAAACCATAAATTTCCACACATACATAACAATCAACGGATATAGAACCGAAAGTAGTGTCACTGATCCAAATAATTGCTAAAAGGAATAAACAATCAGATAGGTTGTACCAATGACGAAAGGCTGCTTGTGGACGGAGGAATCGGTAAAATGAGCAGATGATGGGGCGAATGCAGTAGGAGTTGCGGTGGAGGAGCGAGGAGAACATGCGGCAGGCGACCGGAGTCCGTCCAGGCGAAGGCCGGAGAAGTGTGGGCCCGTTGAAGCCTCCATGACATAATCAATCGCCACCGTGGTCGTCTTCATCTTCTCTAAAAATTAAAACGAACCACGGTGGTTTAAAAATGCTATGTGATTTATGACCGATAAGACTATAAGAGTACGGAGTATAATAGAGTCGGAGTGCTTTTATTCTTGTCAAGCCACACTTTGATTCTATTCATAAATAACATCTCCAATTATAAACAAATAGTCCGTATCAATTACTCCCTCCGTTACTATTCACACAGTCAAACTTTAATCACTTTCTTTACTTATTTTCATTAGGTGTTTGATAAAATAATATAGTCTTGTCACCCCTTGTTTTGTAGAACTTTTGATTTAGTTTTTAAATATATAAATTTTATTTTTTAATTTTACACCTACAATCAAATAAATTGAATTGAAAATAAAGTCAGTCAAACCTCGTAAAATGAACCGGGAAGAACATTATAGGACGGAGGGAGTATAAAAATATGATACTCACTCCGTCCACAAATAAACTTTACGTTCACTATTCACATGGTCAAACTTTAATCATTTTATTGGCCTATTTTCGTCACTCATTTGATAAAATAATATAGTCATGTCACCTCTAGTTTTGTAGATCTTTTGATATAGTTTTTTAATATGTAATTTTTGTTTTTCAATTCTACACCATTTTTTATATAAAATGATTTGAAAATAACTTCAATCAAACATCGTAACGCGCAACGTAAAGTTTATTTGTGGACGGGGAGAATATTTCATAAGAGTTCTATGTATCTATAATCTCTCTGATGTTTCATAAGCAGATAAATAGTCTTAAGAATTTTTAAAAATTGTCAAATAGTCGCCAAACAATCATTAATAATTATTCCCTATATTAGAAAATTCGTAAAATATACATAACACGCGCGTATTACGCAAAGACGTCAATCACACAACAGTAAAAAAAGCTAATTTGAGGTTTTATTGTGATGTGTAACTCTGAACCATAGTACAATATTTTCCATCTTCTAGTTTTGCTTTTACAACAAATTCTTCGTTTCTTCTAAATTGATATTCTTAAATCGTAATATATTATTCAATGTGAGTTTGACATTATTCTACTTTCAAGTAGCTTTATTCCAAGATAAAATCATGTGAGAAGAGAGCAAGAAAAAGACCATTCATTGCCTTTAAACACAAAGACAAGGGAAATTTAGAGATAAACTTCTTCTTTTGTTACATGTTTCACATGTTCACACAATACGTTTATCTTCTATGTACTTCACATTTTCTTTAAACAATAGACAAATTATGCATCAGTTCTTTGACCACATTTACCACTTTAAAGAAAAGACTAATTATGCATCAGTTCTTTGACCACAGAAACTATTTTACAACTTTCAAAAATACATGAACTATTTACCTACTTATGAAAGACCACAAGGACTATTTGTGCATTTTGCTCATTTCAAAATTACATTACTCAGTACCCACTAAAATAACAAGACGAAAACTTATTTCCAACTCAACACTATAGCATTTGTAACACACACACAAATATATATGTGTGTGTGTGTGTGTGTGGAATGTCCATAATCTTGTTTTTAGCACTATTCTTTTGTGCCTGGTGCGACACACAAAGAGATATCGCATTAGATCAAATTCTTACACCCCCCTATGCCGATACAATAGCACTTATGTTTGTAAATAGTGGCCAAGAGGTGGCCAAAAATACAGAAACAATATTGTTTGAACGGAACTAACATGATACTAAATGGAAAATTGAATTTTTAAATAATTCTAGTAAAGAATTCTAGTAAATTCTATCCCGAATTGAATCGTCATGTTTTCAAAACAGTACGAAACAAATTAAAAAGATAAAAACTCCGAACCATTACTGTTACTATTAAAATACTCCGTATTAAATTAATCGATTAATTATATATTTACATTTGTTTTTTTTAATATTTTTAGCTATTGTTTAATGAGAAATTTATCTAAATAGGACTAAAACATAATGACTTTTCCAAGTAATGTACATCATACTGAACATTATTCAAGTAAATGTACATCATTACTGAACATTATTTCTCCCACTAAGACATTATTAAGTCATATATAGGGAAAAAAGTTTAAGTCCTACACTAAAAAAATCATTATGTTTTAGTTTTATTTGTGCGGCTTTAACTTTATCTTTGTCTTTTAAATTACTCGGTACTTTAGAATATGATTTGCCAATTTAATTCACTACCTAAAAAACAATAGTTTGTTGAGTAAAGATATAAAAACATATTGGTGCACCAAATATTTTTACGTTCATCAATTAGTTTTTTATATTAATTATTCTTTAACTTTTAAAGCAGTGGTGTGTGGTTTGACCTTAATATGATATAATATCGTATTCAAATAATTTTGGGAATCGTGTGTTTGGATTTATCCCGTAAAATCAAATAAATAACACTCTCATATAAAGAAAAGTGGAGTTCTACCAATTAGATTAAACTTTTAGATAGAAAGTGGATCTGAACTTTATATGACTAAGTGATCAAATCTCACCCAATACTCTATCCACTTCACTTGGCCCAATAAAATTCCATCATATCAAAGCCAAGTTCGGTTTGAGTTTTATTCCTCCTGCTATTTACCGGGCTAGCTGTAAAGAAGTTGAGATGCTAGACTCATTCATTCGTTCATCTAAGTGGTAACTAGACGAGGCTAGTTACCACTAGAGGTGGGGTGTTGGGAAGTGTGTTGGATTTATCCAACAATGATAGAATCAAACAAATAACACTCTCATACAAAGAAAGGTGAAGCTCAATCCATTAGCTTTAAGCTTTTGGATAGAAAGTGAATCTATATTTTATTAGTGATCAAATCTCACCCAATATTCCGCCCAGTTCACTCGGCCCACCGAAATTCTAACAAATAATACTACCTTAAAACGTAGTGTCAAAGTTAATGTTATTCTACTCACTAATATTCTTGAATAAAATGTGGTTCCAATGGAGTTTTAAAGCATCTCCAAGACTCCAACATGACATCACCCCACACAAAAAATGTTATAGCATATTCCAATGTAGTGGGAAACACCTCACCAAATAATAGAGGGTCAACTTTTGTGATGTTCAATTCCATAGACATTTTAGACATAATAATACCCATCCAATTCTCTATTTGTTTCTATTTCCCCTCTCATTCAACTTCATCAAGCCATAAGCCTCGTATTCATTTTAAGGCTTTATGTACTACATCATCTTAAGGTATGGAGCCCCCAATGAGGTGGCTGCCACATGATGAATAACGCCCCCATCGGGGCTCCATGACTATACATGGTCAAATGGTATCCGTTACCCTTATATTAATATGCACCAATACTAAAATAACCGAAAATGCCAACGACTAAAAATGATGTTCCCAAACAAGACTTATAACTCAATTTACCTCCTCCCAGTACCGATCAGCAGCATTTTTGGATTATACTCTTACCCCCATTACCTATGGGTACGGGCTATTGAGTTTCGTGCCGCGGCGTATTCTTCTTCTCTGCGCCAAAGCTTCGCCTTGAAAGCAACCTCGGAACAGGAAGACAACATTGTCCCTGTTTTCGCGATTCCGATGAAACGGAGAGTTTGAGTTCTTGGCTATGACTTGCAGCAGTAGTGGTGGTAGCAGTAGTTCTACTACTACTACATGCAGAGGAACAAAAAGCCGATGATCCCGGAGTGGACATATTAGTGGCGGCATTCATGGAAGAATCCAAAGCACGACCAACTTCTTCATCTTCTTCTTCAGCCCCACCGCAAGAACTTTCTCTGAAAAAGTCTGCAAGGCTCTTCTTCTGAATCTGATCAGTTGGAGATGTTATAGAAGGGGTACAAATGGGAATTCTGTCACTCATAAGTACTGTCGTCCCTCCCGCTGGAAATCTATGGTGGACCGGCGTGTTCCCTCTGGACGGCGTGAAATCTGCGTTTTTGATGAATCAATGAAGGCATCATCAGACACATTGTAATTACTAATGCTCTGTTTGGATTGATTGGGATTAACCAACCTCAGACTGGTTATTATCAAATTAGGCATTTGTCAAAGAAAACTTCAAGGGTAATTAGGTAAGTAACCCAAGAATCTTGGGAAGTGATGCAGATTAAATGTAGTTGCAAAAGAAATAGAACTCACCTCCTTTAACACTATGAAAGTCATCATCACAATCAGACTCAAAGTAGAGTTGAGAATCAAAAAATGTTTCATCTTTGCTACCTATATAATAAGAAACCAATGTCCAAAAAGAGTATGAGAAATGTTAGATCCATAAAAAACTATATAGAAACCAAAACAACCTTCCAAACTCATTCAACTTGACCAATTGAAAACCTGTGGTAACTTCAACCTGGGGTAAATTGCAATTGACTTGTGCATATTTCATACACTAAGAAAAAAAATCTTATTGTAATGGAGCTTGAAAGCCATGTTTGGTAGAAATTACTTTTCCTTTAGGAAAGTTTGAATAATGGGTTGCTTTTCATTGTTTACTTTCTCAACAATCACCATATGAAACTTTAACCCTACCATAAAGCCTAAACATGCTCTTCTTGTCAGCTAAAGAATCACATGGAAAGCTCTTCCTAGTTCCTATAGGACTTTTTGTTTTTTAAAATAATGTTGTGAAGAAAATGACGGATTTGCCCTCATGATAACCATGTTTATTCAGACCAAGGATGTAGAACTAATCAAGGATTGAACCATGATGAAGCACAAATAAAATATAAATATTATTTCTTTAAAATCATTTTTAAAAAAATGCTCTTTTGAGTTATAGAGATTTTACCCAACCGCAGTAATGGGTAAATTGGAACCAGCATGTTCCATTATTAGGATAAAGAAGAAGCCAGGGAAAAAAACAAAGTGTACAACATAGTATTTTAATGATATTTTCAGAAACTATTTGGCATAAGCTAGCATAAAAGACAAATTGTTCCAGCCATTTAATATAGTTCTAGTATTAAGAACAGCGTGTTCCTACACTACATGTTGGACTCTCTTTTTTTTTACCCTTTTTTTTACCTTGTTGACCAAATTCTTTAAATAGATTACATCCACAGTACAAAAATTACAGTACAGTAATTCAGTAAAATCAGAAATAAAAATTTATACGGAGTATTTAAAACTACATTTAAAAAAAGAGAGAGTCAAGGAATCGAACCAAAGTCAGCAGAAGCGGGTAGGGGGGTGGGCGAAGGCAGAGTGTCGGAAAACTTAGAGCGGTCTACGGCGGCGCTTTGGAGTTTGACCGGCGACGGATTCACAAGGCGTCTATTCATTAGAGTTTCCTGGTCCTTGTGCAACGAAGCACACGAACCCATTCCTCCTTTTTTCTATTTTAATTTTTTTTTAAAAAAAAACCTTAATCCTCCCAAAACTCCTAAAAGAAGAGGAAGAACTGGAGAAAGAAAACGTTTCAGAGAGAGAGAGAAAAAGGGAGAATTGGGATTAATTGGGCCTTGAAAGCAAAGTTGCAGTAATAGACTCATAGTTTATGAACAGCTTGACTGTGGGACCCCGTTGGTAATTTCCTCTTTTTTAAGTGAATTTTTCACATTTTAAATATGAAAATTTACACTATAAACGGGTTTATTGCTGAATATTTTCTGTTGTTTGATAAACATTTATAATTACATTCTATATTTCAAAATTTATGTCGTTGTCTCTCATAATTCTAATATTGCTACAACAATCTCCTACTAACCTAAAATATTTTTCGAATGTTAGATCAATAGTTCTCTTGCCCCCATAGTTTTCAAAAGTGGCATCAATCCACCCTCTCTTTTTTCTTTATTTTTATCCACTATTTTTTCATTATTTGTTTAAATTTCTTTTTAAGATTATTTTTTATAATGTTTTAAAAATAAAAACTATTTGTAGTTGCAATAGAAATTTAATTAAAGAAAAAAGTTAGTGTATACTTCATTTGTCTCAAATTAAACATTTTCATTTTTTTAAAGATGTCTTTATTCGTTCATTTTCATGATACAAAAAACCAATGAAACATTCTCTTTTTACACTAAAACTCATTTCTCATTTTCTGTTCATTTTATGATTTATTTATTCCCGTTTTGATTTTTTTAAAATTTAGTTATTGTGATTCCTTATATTTTAATCAAAATTAAAATAATAGAAAAATAATGCAAAAAAATTAATAAAAGAAAGGTATGTGAAAAAATAATTTTATAAAGTCATAAAGGAAATTTCTTGCGCATCGATATGAAAAATGTTATTAATATATAACTAACTATATATTAAAAGACCTTATTTAGTATTATTTTGGTTCTTACATATTAAAAATAAAAAAATATAAAAAAATTAAAATTATTTAACTTTACAAATGAAGTATATGTTAAATTTTTATTTCTTTTTTTATTTTTTAAAGGTTTTTTAAATACAATTTTGAACAACAACTTTTCATTCTTTCAAACACAAACATTCTTCTTTTCTTTATGAAAAAAAACAATAAAAAAGGAGAGGAGCCTTGGTACCCATTTCCAAAATCATTAATGGCATGTAGCTATTCATATACTATTTGAAGGATATTTTTATCCAAAAGGGCATTGCATGGTAGTATCAGAATGATTAAGGTAACGACGTAAGTTTCAAAACTAGAAGAGTTGATGGTGTATATTTACCAAAGAAGAGAAGATATTGGTGTAATAAAGTCCTTTTTAAACATATACTCTGGGGTACAAAGTACGTACCAAGGGGAACCCATGAAAAAAAATTACAAATATGATCCCAGAGACTCGGGGAATGTTGGGTTCACAAAGTTAGGTGTAAGATCATTTGATGTGGACCACGCCATCATGTAACGTCTGTTTTTCCTTTTTACATCATAGCCCATCACACCACAGCGATGAGGATCGTACTTTTTTTCAAAAAAATAATTGTTCTGTAGTTTGTGGGTCTAACTCACTTTTGCTTTTTTCGAGTCAAACTCATAAATTTTTAGCTTCAATTGATTTCAATTTGTATTGAATATTAATGCGATAAAATAAATTGTTGAAAGTTCTCAGCAAGATAAGTCTAACAAAATCAACTTTGTATTAATACATATTATAATTTTTGTTTAATTGAAACTTAAAGTTTATTTTGTTTGTCTCGAAAGAACCAAGCTGGAAAAATACATTGAGACAAAAGAGTATTAATTAAATAAAATAATATTTTGAATATATATCATAACGTGACAGTTATAATGTGATAATGTAATATGTGCAATTGCGTACAAATGGCGGTGTGAACTCTTATGTTAGTCTTGAAAGACTTATGACTCATATTCTGATATTTTAGTAGTTTTTTACTCATATCTAGTGAGTTCTTCCACGTTCTAAAATCTAAATGTATTCTTCCATACTATGATATACTTCCACTCTTCCACCGTTAAAGATGTTAAAGATGTATGTTAGAGATTTATTTAGAGAAAATAGGAATAATATAAATTACCTACTCCATTTTTATTTCTATAAGCAAAATTAATGTCTCGTTAGGTGAGTTTTTTTAGGTATGATATGAACTTTAAAATTTAAAAGAAAATAATCTGGTTCTAAAATTTGAAATGAAGTTGTTTGAAGGTAACCGCGATAATCAATGGTGATGATGGTCGATAGACGAAAAAGATATCCAATCTCATATTAATATTTTCTAAATGTGAGATATATCAAAATCTATTATTTAAAAGATTTTTGATATTTAGAGATATGAAATTTGATATCTCTAGAGAATTCATCAAGCTTAAAAAATTGTATATAAAGATATTAAAACTTATACTCGGATCCTTCCCAGTGGCCCACTTGTTTGGAGTAGGGGGGCACATGCCCCAACTAAGTTTTTATAATAAGGTTAAAAATATTTTTTTAATTTTTTTTATCTATGCATGCCCCTAATAAAAATTAATGTGACCATATCTAATTAGGTCAAATTTAAAGTTTTTATTTAATTTTTTTAGTAAAATGTATTTTGTTACATATAATTAATTTTTAATAAAATAAAATTTCACATTACATATTAAAAATGTTTTACAATCAATAATATTTGAAACAAAACTAATTATTTTTTAAAATTTCAAATAGTATATCAATAAAATATCCGTGGGCGCTGCCCCGAGACCCCCGATCAGTATAGCCCCCATTTACATCAATTTTTGAATCCGCCACTGCTCATTTCATCCTAAAAGAAGTTCCACGTTTGAACGACGTACAAAATCATGTCACTTTTAAAATAATTTTATTTACAAATTGGTATAAAAATAAAAAATAAATTTACATATTTTAAACTATATCAAAAGTTCTAGTAAAATAAGAGATGACAATAGTATTTTATTATATCAAATGATAAATGAAAATATGGAGAGAAAAAAGTTACTGAAAAACCGTAATATTAAAGAGGTAAATCATTTTGGACGGAGGAGTATCTCCCTTGTTTACAAAAGATGCCCATAGACTTTCCAAAAATGGAAATTAGACACTAGTAATTTTTTAAGAGTGATGCTTTAATTGTCTAAGGGCCCACACTTAAAATGTAGGCTTTCACACATTTACATAAGTTATCATGTGGATATTATCTACTCCACATGATAAATATACTAAAGCCTATCATTGAAATAAATATGGACTTAAGTATACTAAAGAATTTGTAATTTTTAAAATATTTAGGATTAGTTTGATATACGAAATTGATCAAATTAGAATTGAATTGAAAGTTAAAGTTATATGGAATTGGTTTGGATGGAATTAAATTTTGCAATTCTAATTCATTTTTTGCATTACCAATTTTAAATGCACATATTTTTATACTACCAAACAGTAAAATTTAAATTATCATTCTTAATTCTAATTTCAGGTACCAAAGAAAGCCTTAAAAAGACTTTCGACAAAGAGTGTGGGTACAGACAGACAATTGAAATCACAAGACCATCTGGTCCGCAAATTCCAGCCCACAAAAAATATCACTTGAGCTATGTTTTGGTGTGCTGTCGGTCCAAATATAATGAGCTTCCAATTTTCTTTACACTTCTTTGTTTCACGTAGTAAATGGGTTAATTTTAAAATATAATATTAATAAATTAAATTTTTATATTACCTCTGTCTTAAAAAACACTTACCATTTCTTTTTTCATGCATCTCAAAAAAAATTCTTCTTTATATTTTCATAAAATTATGAGTGACTCAGAATCTTTTACTCTTCTCTGTATCACTTTCAATCACACATTTCTACTTTTTTAAAATTTTGTGTCAAGACAAAGTATGAATCTTTTTTGAGGCGCATGGAGTAATATTTTGTTATTTAAAAATTTTATTTTATTTTTAGTTAAAATGATGACAAAATAAGTAAAACTACGATGCTAATTTTGGGACGAATGAAGTAGTTGAAATAAGTAGTGTAGAAAATTATTTGTATTTTTCCGTAAGATAGATGTTTTCGTCATCATCAGTTTTCGTGATCATCAGATTTATAATTATTTTATAGACCTCCACCCATAAAATGATTATTTTATGTAATGGGTCTCAAATAAAAAGGTGATCCAACTATAAGTCCATAAGAATATGGGGGCAAGTTATATATTTTATATGTACACCTTAGAATTATTATAATTCAACTCTTTTCATAAAATAAGTACTTTTAGTTTCAATGAAATATTGCGCTCCACTGTCCCAATTTAGATTGAAATTTCTCATTAATGAGGTAAAATGCCGTATCTTATTAAATTAATTTATCTAAAAATTGATATAAGAATAGTTAATAAAATTGATATATTAAAAAATATATCAAAATTTCTACAAACAAATGTTATCAAGATGTGGATGCCAAAAATTTTTAAATCAATTTCGAGATGGATAGAGTGTTATACTCCCTCCGTCCAATAATAATATTTCCATTGCATGTTACGATGTTTGAGTGAAATTATTTTCAAATCATTTTATATGAAAAATTGTATGAAATTAAAAAATAGAATTACATATTTAAAAACTAAATGAAAAGATCTACAAAATTAGAGGTGCCGCGGTTATATTGTTATAATAAATTGACAACAAAAATATCCCAACAAATTAAATAAAATTTGACATTGTAAATAGTGAATAAAAACATTATTGTTGGATGAAAGGTGCATATAATTTGCTTTGTGGAAGGACTTATTGTTAAATATATATAATATATTTAATATTATTGTATTATTATTGTATTATTATTGTTACCATATTTGTATAGGTTTCCTAGATTGTCTCTCCTACCTTAATTAGGATTGAGACTTTTGTATATATACATGTACTCTCCACACAATTTAATCAATGAAAATAATTCTTCTTCATGGTATCGGAGCCTAACCAAAAACCCTAATTCTCCCTCTCTGACTTTCGGCTTCCCTCCTCCCTCGCCGGGACACCAGCGCCGCCGCCACTCTCCCTCTCTCTCGCACGGCCGGCCACCCCTCCTCTCTCTACCATGGCCGAAAGCGAGATCACCTCTCAATCTACCACCCAAAAATCTCCACATCTGGCTTTCTCTGTTTCTAATGTCAAATTACATGTCCTTATTCAACTCAGTTTTTCTCAACCAAATTACAAGAAGTGGAGCCGCTTATTCCTCCTCCTTGCCCGGCGGTTCACCCTCCACGGCTACCTTGACGGGTCTATTGTCCCTACCTCAAAAGATGATGATGAATGGTACCAACTTGACACCATTCTCCAAGGCTGGATTCTTTCCACCATTACTGATGAAGTCTCTGATCTGGTTCTGACCTCCGCCTCCTCTGCCTCTGCTCTCTGGAAGATGATTCATGATCTGTTTCACGACAACAAGCATGCTCGCGCCATGCAGCTCGAGCACCAATTCCGTACCACAGTCAAGGGATCCACCCCCATGGCCTCTTATTGTCAAGAACTCCGGAATATTGTGGATTGGCTGGACGACGTCGACGCCCCCGTTTCAGAGCACCAATTGATTCTTCAGATGTTACACGGCCTCCCCGAAGATCTCCAGGCTCAGACCTCGTTCCTCCAATTTCAAGATCCCATGCCGAGTTTTCTCCAGGTCCGGTCGGCCCTCCTCCTCCTTGACCGACAACGGACCCCCCTGGCCAGCACCAGCAGCACGACGCTGCTGGCGGGGCATGGCGGCAGCAGCTACGCAGGCGGACAGCACGGCGGGACTGGTGGGCGCGGCTCTCCTCACGGCAGCAACTCCGGCGGTGGGGGACAATTTTTTGGCAGCAACTATGGTGATGGTTCCTCCTCCGGGCAGCGTGGTGGCTTTGGACGCGGACAAGGGCGCGGCAACGGCAACCGGGGTCGTGGTCGAGGGCGCCAAAACAGCGGTTCGAGGCAGCGACCACCCACAGACGGGCACAATTTCTGGAACTCACCGTACCCAAACCCTAATCCCGGGGTGTTGGGCCCCCGACCCACACCCGCACCCTACCCATATCATGCCCATGCCCATTATACAACCCACCCACACCCCAACCCGTCACCCTACCCGCCCACCTCCCC